TCTATCTATCTATCTATCTATCTATCTATCTATCTATCTATCTGTCTATCTATCTATCTATCTATTTATCTATCTATCTATCTATCTATCTATCTATCTATCTGTCTATCTATCTATCTATCTATTTATCTATCTATCTATCTATCTATCTATCTATCTATCTATCTATCTCTTTCTCTATCTATCTATCTATTTATCCATCCATCCATTTATCTATCTAGTGATTTATATATCTATAAAAAAGGAAACATCCAATGTTAAATTATCACGCAACCGATCTCATAAGCAGTGTTTTAATTACACGAACAAAGTCAAACGATCCTTCTAGCGCATGTAAATACGGTTTACTACCTTAAATGAAACACAATGAACATAAATGAAGTTTCCAAAAATCAAGTAAATTGTTCATCAAATGAACAACCAAAACATCAACTATAATCTAAATAAACTAAAAGGAGAAATGAGGCTTGTCCAGTCAAGGTACTTGCAGATTATTGCCAAATGTTTGTTATTGTCTACAGTGCATGTGTAACATTAAGTAAGCGCAGTCACTATATACATGCATATACACATACAGGAGTTCCTGAAAGACCTTCTTGGCGAATTCAAGCGAGATGTTACAGAGGACAAACTCATTGAATACACTGATACAATGGTATGAGCGAGCATAATCGTTGTCCATATGTTTATCTATTTCTATCCGTCCTCGTCTATTTGCTGTATTTTTCTCTCTTTCATACATTGACGACGGGCAATATTGCTTAACGTTAAAACCGTCAAAATCGATCAATCTTTTAGGATTTTAGGATTCAGCATAATTGTAATTCTCGTGTTACTTTAGACACAAATATATAGATGCATGATATAAAACCACATTTTATTAACAGTTGTTTGTAAACGATTACTTATCATTACTTTATATATTAATGATAAACTATCCAGTGTAACCCTCCACATTGAACAACGTTTTCTAATAACTTGGAAGAATTTACCTTGGGAAAATTCTAAATAACTTGGGAGAATTTTGGTAATTTTGGAACCTATCTAATTTAATTGCATTATAATTTGGTCTCGTTTTACGACTTTTCATTTTACGACCCTGTTTTACTGGAACCTAACCCTGTCGTAAAACGGGCCTACCTGTACACGCAAATATAATACACCTACAGCTTGTCTTTTGCTTTCCCCAACGGCCAGCTGCAATTATTTGACTCGAATAGAGATGGGAAATTGCAACTCAGCGAGATGGCAAAGTAAGTACATAATCTCTCCGCTTTTCAAGGACGAAGCTTTCTAGCTTATTGCTTTTTACTGTACGTTCTTTTCTTTTGTATTGTGTCTAATTTAGTAAATATCAGCGTCCTTTCTAGTACGACTGCAAAACCATTTCAATCTGAAAGATTGTAGTAATATTTTTATATTAACCATAAACAAGCATTTACTATTTTTCATTAGTAAATAGCGTTGTAGGTACATGTACACATGCAATCGTGGAAATACTAATTTAAGTTATGGTTAAAGAGATCTTTTACTCTAGGTTCTAGGGTTATTTTCAGTTAATTTAGGTTAAAATTACGCTACATAAAAAGTTTCATGGTTCAATCACCATTAGAAATTTTTTTTTTTAATGTTTTAAAACTAACGACTACAATTTGATTACAACGACGGTGGCGCCACTCAAAGCGCACGATCTGAAAAGTTGCGCAAAACGACTTTTCAGCCAAAGGCTACAGACGAGGGTGTTTCTTATTTATTAATTTAAAAGCAAAAGGATTGTAATATCTTATAAACGACATATAGTTTCAGTTATAATATGGATAAATTTGTCCTAAAATGAACATCGTTCGGTTAAATAGCATTTAGGTATAAATATAATTGCACCTTTGTGACTCAGTCTGTAACGTGCAAAAGATATTGGGAAATGCGCAACTTTTTCAGGGTGGCAGCACGGTCGCGGGTGTCAATGGTGCCGTTCAAATTTCGTAGCTGTAGTATAATTAATTATAACAATTAAATTAGCTATCTGGTAACAAGTACGTGTGGGTATAGACGATTTGTTATACAGTAAGTACAGTTGTTTGCAGTAAAATCATAGAGTCTAGTATCCCTTTAATCATTCCCCCAATTAAAGCAATAAGTGCATAACATTTAGTATGACACCAATAAAAAGCAACGCAATACGACGGAACGCTGTTACAGTGACGCTCAACCTACTGATTCCCTACCGACCGACCGACCCATCCCTCTTCCTCAACGCTCACCACTCCGAACCCCACCCCACCCCCAATATCCACCTGCTGGCCCCGCACTCCATACTCCCATCGACCGACTGACCCTCAATAACCTGTCGAACCCCTTCCCCGTTTGAACCCCTGACCGACTGACCCCCTTACATATCGAAATACCCCCCCCCCCCCCCGCGCTGACAATTCACCCCACCCACCCCCACCCATCCCACCGCCTGAGTGATCTCTGACGGAGTGATTAGCTGTTTGCTGCATCAGTTCGTGCGTAGGCAATCTTATCTGTGCCACAGTAACATGAACGCAGACGGCTCTTTTCTTCCTCGTTGCCGAGCGCGTACGCCTGACCCTCGGGTTACAGGAAATGAGCAAAGAAAACGAGTATTTTTTGCAGCTCGAGTTTTCCCTCGCGGCGTTTGTAAATAGATGCAAAGATCAATAAAACATGCCAAAGTCACGTGAGCTGCGCTTTCATTCCCCGAACAGGATGCAATGAGATATCGCTGCATGATTACCTCCGCCCAACGGAGTTGGATGAGGTTATGTATTCGCTCTCGTGTGCGTGTGTTCGTGTGTTCGCGCGATCGATATTAGCGCGTCAGCCAGCTCAGCCACTCAGCCAGTGATACCCAGCGAGCCAGCGCAGCGAACCAACGAGCGTGTACATGTGAGCGAGCAGCAGCAACGAGCGGCTGCTACGAGCGAGCGAGCAGCAAGCCAGCAAGCCAGCGTGTACGCGGCGTATATCGTGACTTATTCGTGTGTTCGTGAGTCGTATGGCCTATGGCGTATGTCGCTGGCGGAGGTATGCACTCTCCGTGAGTGCACTCTGTCTAGTTATTAATAAAATACACCTAGTCAGCATTTGAAAAGGCAGGTCTAGCAATCATAAGCATTAGTGCGGCCAGTACTAGAAGTCCACGTTATTACTTGCCATTCATGCTCTCTTCTGAGCAATGATTGCCGGCTCGACCTCGCCCAGATATGATTTGCGTTGTTTTTGAGCATCCGCAACGCTGCCGGCACTCGGGTCTCTCTTTACTCTCTCTGCGGTAATAGCTTTGCCTCTATCTTTCGACAATGATTACACCCGATTATTCAATTTCAAACAAAATCCTCGCACACAGGTGACACGTACGATCAAACAAACTGCCTCCTTCTCTGGATCACTTGAGCTGTGACTCCTCTCTTGACATCGACCACGTTGTGTGTTTTGTCGGGCTGCCTTTGCTCGGGTGCGGAAGATGAAATGGGCAGAATAAAATGAAAAGAAGGGATGATGGATGAATGTAAGAGCCTCTCCGTCAGGGCGATATTCCTGATCTATCACCATCGGGCTTCCCGTAAAGTCAGATTATCCTTTACTTGGTCCCCTGCCCCCTTGAACATTTCCGATTCAATTCAAGCTTTGGCCATTTCTATATATATATATATATATCAAGAGCTAATAATACCTTTTAGGGTATTATTAAACTTTTATTTATTAACCTTTATACGGTTAATAATAAAGGTATTATTAGCTCTTGATATATATATATATATATATATACACACACACACATATATATATATATATATATATATATATATATATTTATATATGCCTGCCGATCATTTGTATTGGGCTCGGTTAAATTAGTCGATATGTCCACTCAGTTGTCTGAACGCTGGTGGCACGTATTCTGGCACATAGAGGAATCTACAGAACAGAAACGCGCTAATTGGCAAATTACACATTATTATTGATTTTGTGATTATTTCTGCAACTGGGCTGCTTTCTTGGCTAGCTCAGCCATTGTTTGATGAATGTTGTACGTTGGTCTGTCGACATCTAGTTGTCCCGATCTAGTTTCTGCTTTCGGCCTCAAGCCTTTCTCTCATCAGTCTCATCTTCTTCACGTAATATGACACGATACAATCCGATTGACATTCTTACTATTGATATTAGCACATGATTGATATTACGGGAAAGTATTACGTTTGTGAATCAGGTTCCATAGCGTCCTAGTCCCATAACGCACCTGAAAGCACCATGTTATAAGAACGCGATTTTGATGAGGCCCTTGTCCAGGACTGCAACCCCGCTAAAACCACGCCATACATCTATTGTTACAATTAAGCGGCGCAGGGTAACGGATATATGAGACAACTATAGAATTTAAATTGCTTCTAGTTATTCTAGTTACAAATTAATTGCAACAATGTAGAATTTATTGTCCTTTTATCGAGTCTTGCTCCAATGTAATATACCGACTCGTGAAATAATAATGTAGCAACCTAGAGCCACCGCAGTATACGACGAAGTGTAATATGATAACTATGCGTGCAAGAAGCTATAAATAGCGTTTGTTGTTAGATTGCTGCCGGTGAAGGAGAACTTTCTATGTCGTCAGATATTCAAAGGTACGGCAAACCTTACAAAGGATGACATAGAGAGCGTCTTCAATCTATATGACAGAGTAAGTGCACAATCATGCAGGCAGAAGCCGCTCGCATCTCTCTCAGTATAGACATATAAGACTTATAAACTCACCTGTAAGTAATCATTATTTGACAAGTTAAATAATTAAGGCGTTGCGCTAGTTCATTCTGTTAATTAGTAGTAGTAGTAATCAATTAGATTGACAGATTTTGTTCTTAGGTGAAAAATAGCCTTTCAATTACATTTAGCTAAAGATACTCTTTTGAAGTAGTAGTACGAAAGATTACATCCTAGTTAAAAATAACCACTGTTCGTTTCATTTAGGATCACAACGGGATAATTGAAGCGGAAGAAATACTTGGCTTTTTGAAAGACTTGTTAGAGCTGGTAAAAGAGGTACGTACTCAGATCTAGGGGCGGATGAAAGAAGCTCGAACACCGCACTACTTTAATATGAAAAAGCTTCGAGCGACCTTTGTGAATCATAGATGAAAATTCCATCTCGATTAAAAATATATACTTGAGTGATATTAATAAGTTATAGCTAGAAAAGGGGGGTCTTCATTTATGAATACCATAGAACAACATTCATCAGAACTGAAAAAAAGCTCGCCTCAATTAAAACGTCGTGCGAAAAAAAAAAGTCTACACGTACGCCGCGCTTACAAGCTTTCACGACCGTTATATAGCATAATAATTCTATAAAAACGGATCTACTGATTGAACGAATACACGGCCGCTTCAGTAATCATTAGTTAACGTCGCCAACCCAAACTACTCCGAGTTGCCACGTTCACAGCCTGTAACGAGACCTAAGCGCCTGTGCGATATTATAATATATCGTATAATCACTTTGCCCGGTTAGTCCAATTAGCGCTGTTGGCTTTTTAATTATAATCATGCGAAATGACTTTGATGACGGAAATGAACTTTCGCCATTAAAGGATTACGATACGGACGACCTTTACGATTTCAAGGACGTCATCATGCAGGCCGATATTAACCACGACGGCAAGATCAACAAGCCCGAACTAACGATGGTTCTCCTCGCTCTCACGCAGACCGGCCAGTAGTGACCGAGAGATGGCGCCACGCTACAATAACGCGCGGGCGAGAGAATTAATTTTATTGATTACTAATTTTATAATACTTTCTTGATTCAAGTTATATAATCACAGGTGCAAACGCACTAGTAGCCTGCACGCACGCGGGGAGACACGCAGGCTGGTATATGCACGCTCGGTGATATACGTAGTCAGCGCAGTAAGTGCATATCTAACATACATGAACGGATTTTAATTGGTCAATTAAACATCACGCGGGGCCACGTGTACAAAATGCATTTTTGGTAGGTATACGTGATTTTCACGGACTAAACGGATTCATGTGAAATACGTGAGATGCGATACGTATTTTTAACCTGCACGTAATCTAATATTTATATACCAAATATGTTCATGTAACATTCAGCATAACCACTCACTGAACACGTGCGTGCGCCTGTCTGCATAAACGGAATAATGACGAATGTCGATAAATGTTGAATGTTACTGCTTTGTATTATATGTATAAAGTAATAGTAATTATAAACGCGAACGTACATAACCATTCTAAATTAGTATACGAATGCAAAAAAAAGAATTAAGTGGCGCTTGCGATTGCTTCAAATAAAACATTTACGCATCCAAACGAATGCAAAACGATTAACAATAAGTTTGTTCAAACCTCAAATTCAAACTCTACTAGTTAAATTAAACCGCTACTAGTTTTTGACGATATATTAAAGCGGCATTACCCCAATATTCACCAATGTATCTAATCAAGATAGTGTTCTAGTCAAGCATTTTCGACATAAAACCATTTTGATGAGATATACTCATCACTAAAGCTGCTTCGTTCAAACCTTGCATTGGATTGTTGGCATCCAAAAATTTTTAGTACAAGTTTTAATACAATTAACGTGACATGATTGCTGCATTTTAATAGGTGTGAATAAAAAGAAATTTCTTCCTTTATCGGTTTTTATCCATTTCGGATGTTAATGAAATATACGTGTACATTCATATCATCGTAAATTATTTTCGCTGTAAATACCCAAGTTATGTTATAACGTATAGTAGTATAGTAGTATGTATTTGGTTACTGCGCAAAACGTATATAGGCCTATATATATATATATGATGATTGCCGCTTTTTTTTCAAAAGATGGCCATCTCTTCTTCTGCTACACGGCCATGCGCACGCAGTACTCCGAAGGCCTGCCTTATAAATAAAAGTCCACAATAGAAATTCTAGAAAATTCTAGAACATTCTTTTCTATTATGGACTCTTGATCATATAGATGTAAAAAATTTAATCAACGTACGTGCGTGCGTATGTGTGTGCGTCCGTGCATGCGTTGCGTCGCGTGCGTGCGTATGCGTATGCGTCTGTGCGTGCGTATGTGTGTGGGAGTGTTGTATGTGGGTGTCTGCGTGCGTGCGAGCGAGGGTGTGCGTCTGTAAACCATGTGACGGCGCAGCACAGCAATGTATGATCACCAGCACTGCTGTGCTGGAAGCTGCGCGGAGGGGGAGGGGGGGCGTGCGAGGACGCATGGCATGAATAGAACGTTGAATTTGCGTAGCATGATACATCTCGCCTTCGTTGAACCATCCGTTAATAAGCGCGCGCGGGGCCGTCAGCACTACATTCTTACATTTCCACCTGTGCAGATCTCAGCCACGAGAGACGCAATCGGTACTACCGCACCGAATTCCTCTCTGATCTCTGTCCCTCTCCTACGCTCTAACCTACGCTATATATAAACATATATATATAAATATAATAAATAAC